TTGTGTGATTTCTTGCTCAGGGTTATGTGATCAACATCAAGGAATTGTTGCTTTGTGCATATGTTGAATTGAATTGATAAATTTAAAATATATTTGTTATTTATTTGTTTGTTTGTTTGTTTTTTTTAAAAAATCAATAATTACTTGTGTTTTTTATCTAATTTAGGGAAATTAATTTTAAATATTTTGCAAAGTGTCAAGGCTACAGAACAGAAAATCAGCTTTCATATTTCAAAAAATGTCATAATCATCACAAATCTTGGGATTCTATTTGCAATATTTATTGAAAGCAATGGCCCTAGAGCTTGTGTGGTCATATGTAAAAACTCCACCAATAGAAGGTTATATATATCACTTTGGCTAAAGAACAAAATGATCCATTTTATCAATCTAAATATGAACAGGTAAATATTAATTTGTCAATTAATTTATTACAATTGTATTTATACTAATTTTTGAACAGATATTTATCTGTCTACAAGCAATCATTAATTTTAGAACAGGTGTAAGGAATAACCAGCCTTTGTTAAGAAATGCAGCAAGAAGAATATTTTCTCTGATTTGGTCAGCAAGAAAACACACCATATATCATTTAATAGTGATAACAGATGAGGTTCAATTAATGAAACTTCATCCAACTATAATAATTTTATAGAGAAAAATTGTGTGATTTCTTGCTCAGGGTTATGTGATCAACATCAAGGAATTGTTGCCATTTTGGAGGAAGTTAACAAGAACCTAAAAAGTTTAATACCTCCTGTCCCTCAACCAAAGAATTGGCAGATTGCAGCATGTAATTGTAAAAAATTCATTCAGGTAATATAGTAATAATAATAATCTTTTTTTATCAATACAATAATAATATTTACTATCATCTTTTATAAAATTATTTATTATTAAACAAATTTTAGTTGCAAACCAATTTTTTCTAAACAATTTGTTTTAATGATGCATATTCAATTGGACCAAGAGTTCATCCTGAATCAATCATAGAAACCCAATGATTTCATGTACACTCAAGAAAATTTATTAATCCACAAGAAACAAGGACCATATGGAAAAGCCTAGGAGATGAATATGAGTTAAGTGAACAATTAAAAGACTTTACTAACATAACAAAAAAAGCCTGAGAAAATTATATTATGGAAGTTTTTTATAAAAATAAACCAGCTCCTTCATTTAAGCCCATTCCAATTACAAAACAAGAATCAATTTCTCAAGAAAATGAATCAATAATGAAATTTAATTCAAAATTGAATCGCTTCTTGAACAAACAAGTAGAAGTGTTCAGCAAAAATATTGTGGATTTAGGTCAAAAAATAAGAATGGTTTGTTAAATATATTACAAGAGATAAAGTGTTTATTTAATGAAGAAAATGAAATTGATAATTCTGATCTTATAGAAAATGAATGAATAATGAATGGTAAGAATAAATATTATAAATAAATAAAAATCTTTCTTTTTTTATTATCAAACTGTATCAACATGTATAGTTTTTATATTTAAATTAAAATTTATTCAAGTTGATTTTTTTTAAATTAAAATGTTTAAATCATTTTTTATGGTAAAAGATCGTCACCAATACCAATATGGTAATTCCAGACTGCATATGGTAAGATCATCTTACATATCATAGGCAGAAGTTTGTCTGATTGGCTAATTTTGCTGATCAAATTCAATTGAGTTCGCATATTATTTATATATAGTACTCACTGATTCATAGATGGATCATCAATTAAATACTAAATGTTAATTATTTTTAATTTTTTAACATATTGTATAATAAATAGATAACCATTATTAGAGCATGTTTGCTTGATATCAAATTTGAAAAATATTGTATGTCACTTTTGAAGTTACTACCATTGGCTATGTTTCATATTAGTGCAACAAATGAAGGATACAAATGACATTTGTCGTAAAGGTAGAGAAAAAACTTGTCAGCAAAGAAACAAATTTTATTCCAAGGAATCCAGACTTGCAACAACCATAATTACTTGTAAAAAAATCCCAAGCTGTTCATATCAGGTACATTCTACACAGTTAATAAAATGCCATTAATTTATCTTGACAACATCTGTAAGTACATCAACAAACAACCTTTCAAGATCAAACTTGGCAAAACAAATATATAATCAACAACAACAACATAATCAACAACCACTACAAAAACAATCACAACAACAATTACAACAGCCACTTCCTGTTGTAGAATCATTAATTGACATCAATGATAACATTAATATTACAGGAGGGAACGTACTGGGAACACAAAATTAACAGGAGGGAACACAAAAATTTAACCCATGCAATTTTGTTGAT